ATGCATTGTTCTGGGCTCCATTTGGATTTTATTATTTTATATAGAGGGTACGCTTTTTTCTAAAATAAGATAACTTAATTTCTGGTACAATATGTCAGTGTGACGACCAATGTAATGTTACATCATACACCAACATTTATTAATGGTACTGACGTCCATTACAAACTACCATTAGACACCAACAGTTAACAAGGGTGCTGACGTCCATTGCAATCATACATCAAGCACCAACAGTTATTAAAGGTACTGAAGTCCATTACAAACTACCATTAGACACCAACAGTTAACAAGGGTACAGACGTCCATTGCAATCATACATCAATCACCAACAGTTATTAAAGGTACTGACGTCCATTACAAACTACCATTAGACACCAACAGTTAACAAGGGTGCTGACGTCCATTGCAATCATACATCAAGCACCAACAGTTAACAAGTGTGCTGACGTCCATTGCAATCATACATCAATCACCAACAGTTATTAATGGTACTGACGTCCATTACAAACTACCATTAGACACCAACAGTTAACAAGGGTGCTGACGTCCATTGCAATCATACATCAAGCACCAACAGTTAACAAGGGTGCTGACGTCAATTTCAATCATACATCAAGCACCAACAGTTATTAAAGGTACTGACGTCCATTACAAACTACCATTAGACACCAACAGTTAACAAGGGTGCTGACGTCCATTGCAATCATACATCAAGCACCAACAGTTAACAAGGGTGCTGACGTCAATTTCAATCATACATCAAGCACCAACAGTTAACAAGGGTGCTGACGTCCATTGCAATCATACATCAAGCACCAACAGTTATTAAAGATACTGACGTTCATTACAAACTACCATTAGACACCAACAGTTAACAAGGGTACAGACGTCCATTGCAATCATACATCAAGCACCAACAGTTATTAAAGGTACTGAAGTCCATTACAAACTACCATTAGACACCTACAGTTAACAAGGGTACAGACGTCCATTGCAATCATACATCAAGCACCAACAGTTAACAAGTGTGCTGACGTCCATTGCAATCATACATCAAGCACCAACAGTTATTAAAGGTACTGAAGTCCATTACAAACTACCATTAGACACCAACAGTTAACAAGTGTAAAGACGTCCATTGCAATCATACATCAAGCACCAACAGTTAACAAGGGTACTGACGTCCATTGCAATCATACATCAATCACCAACAGTTATTAAAGGTACTGACGTCCATTACAAACTACCATTAGACACCAACAGTTAACAAGGGTGCTGACGTCCATTGCAATCATACATCAATCACCAACAGTTATTAAAGGTACTGAAGTCAATTACAAACTACCATTAGACACCAACAGTTAACAAGGTTACAGACGTCCATTGCAATCATACATCAAGCACCAACAGTTAACAAGGGTGCTGACGTCCATTGCAATCATACATCAAGCACCAACAGTTAACAAGGGTACTGACGTCCATTGCAATCATACATCAAGCACCAACAGTTAACAAGGGTACTGACGTCCATTGCAATCATACATCAAGCACCAACAGTTAACAAGGGTGCTGACGTCAATTGCAATCATACATCAAGCACCAACAGTTATTTAAGGTACTGAAGTCCATTACAAACTACCATTAGACACCAACAGTTAACAAGGGTACAGACGTCCATTGCAATCATACATCAAGCACCAACAGTTAACAAGGGTGCTGACGTCCATTGCAATCATACTTCAAGCACCAACAGTTAACAAGGGTGCTGACGTCCATTGCAATCATACTTCAAGCACCAACAGTTAACAAGGGTGCTGACGTCCATTGCAATCATACATCAAGCACCAACAGTTATTAAAGGTACTGACGTCCATTATAAACTACCATTAGACACCAACAGTTAACAAGGTTACAGACGTCCATTGCAATCATACATCAAGCACCAACAGTTAACAAGGGTGCTGACGTCCATTGCAATCATACATCAATCACCGACAGTTATGAAAGGTACTGAAGTCAATTACAAACTACCATTAGACACCAACAGTTAACAAGGGTACTGACGTCCATTGCAATCATACATCAAGCACCAACAGTTAACAAGGGTGCTGACGTCCATTGCAATCATACATCAAGCACCAACAGTTAACAAGGGTACTGACGTCCATTGCAATCATACATCAAGCACCAACAGTTAACAAGGGTACTGACGTCCATTGCAATCATACATCAAGCACCAACAGTTAACAAGGGTAATGACGACCATTGCAATCAAACATCGAGCACAAACAGTTATTAAAGGTACTGACGTCCATTACAAACTACCATTAGACACCAACAGTTAACAAGGGTACAGACGTCCATCGAATCATACGTCAAGCACCAACAGTTAACAAGGTTTCTGACGTCCATTGCAATCATACATCAAGCACCAACAGTTAACAAGGGTGCTGACGTCCATTGCAATCATACATCAAGCACCAACAGTTAACAAGGGTGCTGACGACCATTGCAATCATACATCAAGCACCAACAGTTATTAAAGGTACTGACGTCCATTACAAACTACCATTAGACACCAACAGTTAACAAGGGTGCTGACGTCCATTGCAATCATACATCAAGCACCAACAGTTAACAAGGGTGCTGACGTCCATTGCAATCATACATCAATCACCAACAGTTATTAAAGGTACTGAAGTCCATTACAAACTACCATTAGACACCAACAGTTAACAAGGGTGCTGACGTCCATTGCAATCATACATCAAGCACCAACAGTTATTAAAGGTACTGAAGTCCATTACAAACTACCATTAGACACCTACAGTTAACAAGGGTACAGACGTCCATTGAAGTCATACGTCAAGCACCAACAGTTAACAAGGGTGCTGACGTCCATTGCAATCATACATCAAGCACCAACAGTTATTAAAGGTACTGACGTCCATTATAAACTACCATTAGACACCAACAGTTAACAAGGGTGCTGACGTCAATTGCAATCATACATCAAGCACCAACAGTTAACAAGGGTGCTGACGACCATTGCAATCATACATCGAGCACCAACAGTTATTAAAGGTACTGACGTCCATTACAAACTACCATTAGACACCAACAGTTAACAAGGGTGCTGACGTCCATTGCAATCATACATCAAGCACCAACAGTTAACAAGGGTGCTGACGTCCATTGCAATCATACATCAATCACCAACAGTTATTAAAGGTACTGACGTCCATTACAAACTACCATTAGACACCAACAGTTAACAAGGGTGCTGACGTCAATTGCAATCATACATCAAGCACCAACAGTTATTAAAGGTACTGAAGTCCATTACAAACTACCATTAGACACCAACAGTTAACAAGGGTACAGACGTCCATTGAAGTCATACGTCAAGCACCAACAGTTAACAAGGGTGCTGACGTCCATTGCAATCATACATCAAGCACCAACAGTTATTAAAGGTACTGACGTCCATTATAAACTACCATTAGACACCAACAGTTAACAAGGGTGCTGACGTCCATTGCAATCATACATCAAGCACCAACAGTTAACAAGGGTACTGACGTCCATTGCAATCATACATCAAGCACCATCAGTTATTAATGGTACTGCTTAGCTTCCCTTCGCCGAGTCTTTTGTGCAACACCCACTCGAAGAAAAGACCACCTTTAGAAACGTTACTTAGAAATGTACGTAAATATATGTAAATTTACACTAAAATGCAAGTACATTATGGATATGAATGTAAATTTAGTCAAAAAGGAACGTAAATATTTGCAAATTTAGACTTCATTGTATGTAAAAATATGTACATTTAGACTTAAATGTTTTACTCAAGTTGTTTATTTCTGTACACATTGAAACACAATGAAGCCTCCATTGATGCACCTTACTGCTTGTTATCTGAGTGTCACAGAAACGTCTATGGTGCAGTAGGGCGACCATGCAATCACTTTTATTGTTAACGGTCATATTTCGATTTAAAACGTACTGTCAATAGATCAGCTAGTTTACTTCCATCCCTGAAGTGTGATGCTTCTATAGAAAACCGAGATACATCTTGGCATATGTGGCAGTGAATAGTAAGCACCGGCGAGAGCACAAGGGAGGAGACTGTCACACACACCGTTGAAATGACCAATACTGATTTTGGTTAAGCCTTTAGATCCAATGAGTCAGTGAATGAGTATGGTTTTACGCCGCTTTTAGCAATATTCCAGCAATATCACGGCGGGGGACACCAGAAACGGGCTTCACATATTGTAACCATGTCGGGAATCGAACCCGGGTCTTCGGCGTGACGAGTAGACGCTTTAACCTCTAGGCTACCCGACTGCCCCCTAGATCGAATGAAACCTTCTACATTTGTGAAAGTGTGACATCAACGTACATGCTGTGTATCTGTTGCCCTCTTTGGTTAGAGTGGTTTCACATTGTTGCAATTGGTTGTAAATATTTACAAATGTGTTAATGTTTGCACAATGCTAATCAAAAACAGCACCAAACCCGATGGACTGGTACTCAGGAACCTAACAGTTACAAGAAAATGAGATAAAGATGGTTTTAAAATATTACAATAAACGAGTACAACAACGAGATTTTCTTTTAGAATTCTTAGCAATGCCGTTGTAACCCTGCAACACTTCGTTGAGACAGTGGAGCTGTATGGAGTTAGCTATATAAAACGCCAACGCCAGAGAGCAGTCGGTCTCCACCATCCACCGAAACAGACGGGTCGCAGACCACGTCATCATTTTGTACCAGGAGCGAGAAAAATAAATATTGACCTATTTATTGACCGCTTTATCTGTTAATGGTCTAAAATACGGTACCTATAAATAAGCAAAGATAACACGATAAATATGTATAGGTATCATCGCACCCCATAACATTAAAAGATCAAAGCCTACGTGTTATGTTGCAATGATGTTCACAATCAATCAGTTATTTACACATATACACATAGGTACGCTTCAGATTACCTTTGAAAGTATCCGTGGACCTTGGCGCATCATCAGACAAGGCAATGCTGGTAGGGCTATTTAGAACACTCAGCCCGGGGAATCGAAGACTATTTTTCCAATTTTGAGATTCAGCATCAACCTTCTCCACTAGTTCCTGCAAGTCCTGTAACTGTTTTTCAATCTTGCCCAACCGATCCATCGTTTGTGCCTTGTCCGACGTAGACGTCTGAACATAGTTGTTGAGGCTGTTGATGGAGTATTCGATGTTGGTGGGACAACCACAACTGTCGGTCCTACCCGTGGAGATTGGGGGTGGGGATGTGAAGGTTTCTTCAGTGGGTGGGGGTAGTAGTCCCTGGGGGGTGGTGTATAACACCCTCTGTCTCGACCGCTGTCGTTCTCTTTCTCTCCTCTCTAGTTCCCTCGCTCTTTCCCTCGATCTTTCTCTCTCCCTCTCCCTCCTCTCTACTTCCCTCTCTCTTTCACTCTCTCTCTCCCTCCTTTCTTTGTCCCTTCCTCTGGACCGACTGCTAGTGCGACGTCGATCTGGTCTTGTCCTGGGAGCTGGTGTTAGTCCGTCATCGATGTCGTCGTATTCATTATAATAATCCCTCTGCTGGAAGCTGAGTTGTACGCAAATGAGAAGCAGAACACATATTAGCAGTAAATTTCGAAGTATATGCACTTCCATTCTTCCAGGCCAATATCCAAACTGTAAATAGACCAGATGTTAGGTAGACAGGCGTCGGTCGTATTGGGGAAACGGCAATGAAAGATTGCCACCAATCCCAATCTACACAAACAATCCGATGTCAAAAAACACCGGCCACAAGCGAATCGGGCCTTTGAAAGTCTAGTGACGATAGATTCCCTTAAAGGCCATTGGTCTCCCCAACGCAATACGCATCTACTTAAAAACGCCTGTACGCGTTTAAGTCCAAATAGTCTGGAAGCGTTTCTTGAAATATACAGAAACACTGTCGGTTAGGGCTCCCTATGACCAACTGGCGGAGAACGGTGCAAGTGGTAGTATTTGCTTAAGGGATGTGTTGTAATGTTCTACACAATGATATCAGCCTGGTTCTGATACAATAAGGGATCACGTGACTATGGCTCGTGGCGGAAAATGTCAACAAGCTGACTTCAGTATGAAGCAGAGAATGGGAAAAGATCTGGGTGTTTTTGTTTCTCGTTCTACATAACGTGACACCAGGATATGCCTATTCAACAAAATATTTTAAATTGGGAAAAATTAAATACCACTGTAACCTTTCTTTAATGTATGTTTCGTTGTGAAATGTACCTTTCATGATCAGCTGAAGGAAAATGAGACGAAAATGTCAAATAAACAATGCGAGATTTGATCTGTAATGTAAAATCTTCTTAAGGTCTCTCTGATTCAAGGCAAGTGTTGAAGGAGTACGCAAAGTGTGGATATTTATTTCCTTATTGTTACGATACATCAGAGACATAACGGCCGACCATTTCATCACGGTTCTCATCAAAGAGATTCCGGAAGGGGTTTATTCATAAACAGGCAATATTGCTTCATTCAACCGATAAAACCTCAACGTAGTGTGTGTTCGTTTAATGTTGCATTGATGTTCTTGTGTTAATATTTGACAAAGGGTTTTAGAGAGAAACAAGATAATGTATACCCAGTGATACTGGGCAGGTCGGCTCGGTGTCAGTCTGAGTGGGGTATTCATGTTAAAGGGGCACGGGTGGCCCAGTCGTCTAAGGCGCCGCGATTCGCTGTGCAGAGTTGTGTCCCATGGACAAGCCAGAAACCTATGATTGTGGGTTCGAATCCTGGTTCGCCCCGATTACGTTTCAAGGTTTGTCAGCACCATACCCTTGCTCGTGGGTTTCACCGAAGTGGTAAACGTCTGAGACCTGCATTACTTGGGGCCTTCCTCCCACATTGAGCAGACACGCCCTGATATAACTGGAATACTGGAATAATCTTGGACGCGACATTAAACCCCATTTCAAGCCATCTCACCTCAACTCACCTGTCTCGAAATCCTTGGTCTCGATGAAACCATGATTCAGCTAGAATTAAGAGTGTCTGGTATTGAAAATCGTCATGAGGGATGTATTTATGGTAAACTGAATAAAACAGCATTCTCGGATCAGCAGATAGAGAGACTGGTGTATGTTATTTGTGTCTAACCTCGTTACAATACGCAACATTAATAAAAATTATACATAGAATACAATACATATTAAATACAGTAACGCGCCACTCCTTGCAGTGTTATGAGCGATTGATTTTTGTTCGCAAGTATAGAAAAAAAAGTTAAAGCTTTACATTAATATTTGTATATTATTACAAATTAAGAGTCCGTACATTCAAAATACTTTTGCGGGTCTTCTTCTGGTTTGGAGAGAATATAACCTACTTTCCGGGCATCATGAAAATCCCTAAAATCTGGGCAGGCTGAAATACAACGACTTAAACATTCCGAAGGTGATACTTAATGAAACACATTCAAAACGCTTTTTAGAACATATACAAAGGTCACATTTGTTTTATTGATATTCACAATTAATTAAATAATCCAGTAAAAAGAAGTTAAAAAACTCCCATTGCAGATTAACTGAAGTGATTTGAAAGAATCGAGTGTTCTCTAACTAACTTTGTTTGTGTAGCATATAGATAAGCCATTCAAAGCTAATACAAATAACTAAAATTGCAAGAACCACGTGTGTGTTATGGTAAACCAAAATCTAAATCAACTAACCAAACATTATATGTTAGACATATTGTGTTATTATTAGTTTTATATTAAAATGTTTTGGGTATAATCTTAGAAATATAAAATAATACGGTCCCTCCCCACCCTAGCGAATGGCGACTATTTCCTGCTTCTTCCCCACGCTTGGTGTCAGTTTTGATATTCCACCACCTCCATCTCCGGATACAGCACAACGCCCTTTCTCTTTTAGTTGTTTTTATTGGCATACATTGTTCATCCATTTCAAAAGCCGTTGCCCGTAATGAACTGTTCGGTGCTTTGAGAAGGGCACACTGTTAAAGAAACACACATAGGAAATGTCAAAATAAGCTTAGAGATACACAAGGAAATATAGTAATTTCGTTTTTCGTTTTTTTGTTTGATGTTTAACGCCGTATTCGACAATATTCCAGCAATATGACGGTGGTCTGTAAATAATCGTGTCTGGGTCAGACAATCCAGTGATTGACATCGTGAGCATCGATTTACGCAATTGGGATACGATTAGACATCAACAAGGTCAGCAAACCTGACGACACGATCCCCCTTGGGGTTTACGACAAGCACGGGTGGCTCAGTCGTCTAAGGTGCCGCAATTTGTTTTCAGAGTTGCGTCCCATAGGCATGCCGTAAACCGATGATCGTGGGTTCGAATCCTGGTTCGCCTTCGATTATGTTTCTCGGTTTGTCAGCACCATACCCGTGCTCGTGGGTTTCATCTTAAGTTGGCAAGGTACAGTTATTACGAATTGTAAAATGAAAGGGAATGTTGAATCGACTTTCTACTGCGTTTGAATACTTTGCTTGACAAATGTATTTTTTCCTCAATCCCTAATTTGAAAAAAACCAACTTGTCTTTCGGTTTGCCGAAATGGATAATATATTAATTCAATGTTAAGTTTGGTTACCGGTATTAGTTCTCAGAACAAGCTCGCTTAATAATTAATTGCGTTTCACACATTCTGTTAACCAGTTGGTTTCAGTTATCACGGAATCATATGACGTTATCCATTGTTTCATGGCGTATTTTCATCATGAATTGCTGGTAAACTTAGTATTTTAACGTTTGTCGATAAACAGTATGTGTATTGGGATTTACGTGACCCTGTGACCGTGAAGATCCTGAGAAGAATAGGTCTTCAGCAGCCTATGGCATCCTATCCCAATTGCGTGGATTGATGCTCATGATGTCAATCGCCAGATTCTCTGTTCTAGACTCGATTATTAACAGACTGCCGTCATATAGTTGGAATATTGCTGAGTGCGGCGTTAAACAACAAACAAACAACAAAACATTGTTCTTTGCTCGTTTGTGCCGACTATGGCTGTTTGAGGTCGGAGGTAACCAATCGTTAAACAACAAATAAACAAACAAAACGTGACCCTGTGTTATTGAGTATTCGCTGCCCGACTAAACGGCGTCGGTTCCAAATGAAACACCAGACCATCGGCTAGTGATTGGCACCCGCACAACGGAACCGTTTTCTCCCAAATAAGAAGGGTAAACATGAGTTCAAGAATAATAATACAGACACTTTAGAAGACTACAATATTAAGCCTACAATTAGTGCGACTGGACAACAAGAAACCGTGGCATTACAGCCGTTAACGACCCGTGAAGATCCGGGATAGAATAGGTCTTCAGCAACCCATGCCTGTCGTAAAAGGCGACTATGCCTGTCGTAAGAGGCGACTAACGGGGTCGGCTGGTCAGGCTCGCTGACATGGTTGATGCATGTCATCATATCCTAATTGCGTGGATCGATGCTCATGATGTCAATCACTGGATTGTCTGGACCATAATTGTCTGGACCGCCGTCATAAAGCTGGTATATTGCTGAGTGCGGCGTTAAACAACAAACAAACCATTGCAGTCGTTAACAGTCAGCAACGAAGCAGTGGTTCTTTAATGAGCTATGCGGAAGCACGTGCAGTACATGAAACCCGAATCAAGTAGAGCCATACACCATCCCGAGAGACAATGTCTGTTGGCAGCCTACATCAGATCATTGTCCGTGCGCCCAGCTATCAAACACGTGTTCTTTTAATATACTGCAGATCTACGGCATCTTGGAACTGTTCCTTGTCAGCTTGTATGCTGCAGATATGTACGATGTGTAGGTCAGCTGTTGATATGTAAAATATATGAGAGGGTGTTCTTGATGCACATTCCAGGTCAACTGTAGATATGTTCGATGTATGATTGCCTATTCTTCATTCACATTCTCAGTCAGCTGAAGATATGTACTCCCCATAAAAAAGAATCGCACAGGTAGATTTTTAGTAAATACATTATAGCTAATAAAGTAGATATATTTAATTTAATATCATAGATACAAATATGAAATTTTGGAGCTCGATAGTCACATGTTGTCGTTGTACAAAGGCATTGAAAACTGTTTATTGTCATCTCACATAAGGCCACAAGGTGGCGCTGAGCTCATATCGGTGGCACTATCTCGTGTGACCGCCCCGGGCAGCAATCCCGGCTCTCCTCGGTACTGACTGGATACACTCGTCTCCAGTTTCTCAAATTCCAAGGCTGTAAGGTATGGCACCAACGCATGCGTCGCTGTCGATGGATCTGATGCAAAACAGGGACGATAACTGTTCTTCTGGGTCGGATTCCAGCCTCGCAAAGATTGTTCTGACAGTCTGGTCCGATATCCTCCTCAAACCAGGGATGTGTCCTGCAGTCTGCGTAGCTGTGGCATTGCGATGACGTAGGTGGAGCAGTCGAATGTAGCGATCCTGTGTGCAGGGGTGGTAACTCTTGGTCGGCCGGTTCTCGGACGGTCTGCAGTGGAATCGAACTATGTGTATCGGTCCCAAGGCGGCAAATTGTGCTATGGTGGACGTTGAAGTGACATGCAACAGAAGACTGCGATTCCCCTCTTTGGATACGTCCTATGGCGATGTTCCGATCGGCAGCGCTGAGTCTCGGCATTTTCGAACTTGAAAAATGTTGGCAATTGAATGACAAATTAACTATGCTTGCCTTTAATAGCCACTACCATGAGTTACGAATGCCATAACTTGCACGTGCATTTTGCTTTACTGTTTTCCTCCATGACATATTTGAACAGGTGTGAAAACAATGCCGTTTAAGACATTGCAAATCGACAATGGCGGCGTTTTGACGCACCGTTTGTCGAATATCAGACCACCAACATTTTCCAATAACATATATCCAATTTATATACCGTTTTTTGTGTAGTCAGGTTCAATGAACTACATACTACCTGTGCGTTTCTTATTTTGAAGAGTGTATACGATGTCTGATAGGGTGTTCTTTTATAGACATTCTCTGTCAGCTG